CAAATTTACTTTATGTCTTTTCCAATTAAGGGCAATTGGGTTCACTTTGGTTTCAGCCAGTGGAATGGATAACCACGCATTCACTTATTTTTGTGCCCATTTTTCTTTCATAAATATAATTTCTTATTTGAATTATACAAACTTTGATTACTTAAACAATAAAAAAAGTTGGCTATAACCTCTCTCATTTGAAGCAAGTTGATTACCTTCACTGGTCATTCCTCCACTTAGTGAACTCGTCACTGGCGAGGATTGTGGCACCTATTATATTATATTTATATTATCTCAGCATCTGATTTGTGAAACATTATTCCAGTCTGTTTTTTTATGACAATCCCATCGCGAAAATGGTTTCGTGCTGACATTTCAGAACGTTTCAGTAACGATGTACTCGTTTGTGCAATCATTTTCTTTGATCCAGGTTTCTGCTGGCTTTATTACACCATTGCACACATTCTAGATTTTCTCTGATACTTTCGATGTACCTTTGTAGGATTTTAGTCCATCATGGAGATCAGAATTTCAGCTTCATTCGGAATCCCGGAAGGTTCGTTCTCGAATAAAAAAATCGGATGCTCTTACCCTGCATAATCTAGACTGTCAAATATTTAATCGAATTCTTAGTAGGAAGTTTTTCGCAATAGATTTTCATTCTGTCTATCATCTTTCTAAGTCTCATTGTTGGTACCATTTCGCCCATCTCTGACGTCTACAAGGGCCAAAATGGCTCAGTCCGCGTTGCCCTGATCGCCGAATTGTGCCTATCCTGATTCCATAAATGCATATCCCGTCGAGATAGGACGTGTCAAATCAAATGATCCAGACTTCAGAACCAAGAAGCGACCATGATATTAGGCTATTTCACATTCGCATTTTCTTCATTCGATAGTGGCTTAACAAGGGAAATATTAGGACTCAGGATTCAGTACCGTCGTATGGGTTTAGCTTCCGCGTAGTCTAGGAATCTAGCCTATTTGTATAGACAACTAATCTGAGGCGCGTGTGCACTTTGCTTTCAGGTTGACGAAATTCCAACTCAAGGGACTAGGCACACTTATGATAATGTGCATCATTTGGGGCAGAATGTCAAGATAGCTCTAGAATGGGGATGGTTTGGTGGTGTGTAGCCTGGCATGGTGCAAAATAAGACTGAACGACCTGGTTCTTACGCTGATACGTGTTAACAACTCTCGGCTTAGACATTCAAGACCAAACGAGTATTCCCAATTGATGTTTTTCAGGATAGCTGATTCAGCCTAGCGCTCACTCGTGCTAACTATTTCCTGCATCTTCAATACTCGGAATTGGGGATGTCAGCATACATATAACCCTATGACGTTGAGCCTTGAGTTTGTGCTAAAACTCCCAGCTTACGTCTATTGTCGGGACATGTGGATTAGCAGACAACATTCTTTTTTCGGTACTGTGCTCGTATGGCAGCATGAAGTGAACTTGGGTGGTCCCTAGTATATCCCTCACGGTACCGTTGCGCCATGCTGCAACATGGGCAAGTTGGTTGAACATCCAACTCAAGGCCCCTCCCTGATCCACTCAAATGAGGTCTCGATGAGGCAAAATTGTATGTGTCTTTATAATAGATCACGTTACTTATGCTCTTATGCAATACTTATAGCCTCTAACTTTTCTCATTATTGATATAGGTATATTAATTGATTATAATGTTGAATGATTATGATATTTTAAAAGCATTGCTTACTTCGAAAGTTGGGTCTGCTTTGTGGCCCGCTGGCACTCGTGGTTATGGCACTTTACGCGTATGTTTTGGCTTAGTCTCTGGGTGTTGATCAGGTATAGGTGAGGTCAAAAGTGGAGCTCTAATTGAGAAAGGAAACTCTAGGAACGAAGGTAAATCGCATCCTAAGATCTAATCATTTTATTCTAAGACCACTTTACTGAGTATCAGTACATGCAACCTTAGATGTATACAGTTATTCATTATGTACCGCTAGTATCGAAACCAACTTAATATGCTTGTAACTTGATCCCTCGTATTAGATTATTTTAAGACTGCTTCTTTTGTAGCTACTTCTCAATTATTACACTTTGAAAACTGTGAAAGTTATTGCGCAAGAAACAGGCCTCTTCTGAGATTATCTTTTAAAATATGTAAGAAGATTGTGCCTCCCTACATTTGTGTAAATTGGACTTATCTGCCAACATGTTTAGCTGATTTACATAAATATGGTCTGGCTTTGACAAACTGCCTTTGTTTTGTCGTTTTTTCCCTTTTTCTCACCAATTATGCGTTGCAAATATATGGAATTAGTTTTTCGTTTATAAGCTTAGCTTCAAGACTGCATTACATCCTGATAAGGACAACTTTTGGGGAAGCAAGACTATGGGAAATTTAATGGAAACACAAATTCTACTTGTATTGTGGGAAAATTCAACTATCAGTCCTTCAGTACCTTAAGTGAAATCGGGTGAATACATCTCACAATGGGAATCAGCGCCTATTCTTATGCATTCTTTCATTCCCAGCGCTTTTACTATACTGTTTATTTACATCTCTGACGAGTTGTAGTATGGTGCTAAGAATAGCAACACTCACTGACGATGCCGGCGAAACTTGTGTGAATGTACCAGGTCCACGGTCTGACTCTGGGACATAATCCTGCATACTATGGACTCTTGACTAGGTGCGTTCCTCTAAGTCTTCCTACCAATATGATCAAAATCACCTAACTCTAAAGACTGGCCGCCCAAGAGCCTTTACTTTCCCTTTAGATTATCCCTCATGAGTCACTTCTTGGTGACGTCTCTTTCTGTTGTTGAACAGTTGTCCTGGGTCCAAGCGTCTTCCTTTTCATGTCATCGCTAAATCTTTAAGTGTGCCCAGGCAGTATGCG